AGGTGGTCAGCTCAGATCCAGGACATCCCACCCAGGACATCTCCAAGACAGGAGTGTCCCCATTGTCACCCTGGGAGGGGATGGGGGATGTGAGAGGGTGGTCAGTTCGGGTCCAGGATGTCCCATTGGCCACCCAGGTGTCACCTATGGAAGGGACAGGGGATGTGAGCGGGTGGTCAGTTCAGATCCAGAACACCCCACCGGTCACCAGGGGGACAGGGGATGTTGGCGGGTGGTCAGATCCAGTTCAGATCCAGGACATCCCACCCATGACATCTCCAAGACAGGACTGTCCCCATTGTCACCCTGGGAGGGGACAGGGGACATTCCAAGGGCATTCCTAAAATCCCTAAAATCTGCGTTATTCCCTGCTCCAGACCCCCGTTGTCACCCTGGGAGGGGACAGGGGACATCTCCAGGGGTGATTCCTGAAGTCCTTGGATCCCTCAGGGACATTCCCGCTCCAGACCCCCGGGGCTGTGGGCAATGTCCCCACCCTCGGGACCGCCCCTTCCCCACCAATCCCACCCCTCAATCCCATGGATTTCTCATCCCTGGAAGAGTCACCTGGGGCAGTGGGTGATGTCCCCACCCTTAGGACCGCCCCTTCCCCACCAATCCCACCCGACCCCACAATCCCATGGATTCCTCATCCCTGGAAGTGCCACCCGGGGCAGTGGGCGATGTCCCCACCCTCGGGACCGCCCCTTCCCCGACCCCACAACCCCGCGGATCCCATCCCGGAGCCCGGGGCTGTCGGGCGGGACGGGCAGGGCGGGTTTGGGGTCCCCGTTCCCCGTTCCCCGTTCCCCGCTCGGGCCGGCGCCGCTCCTCCCCAAGATGAAAAGCGCCGCAGCCGCCGCCGCCGGCGCGGGCGGGGATCAAAGGCCGGGATGGGCGGAATTCCCGAAAAAAAACCGAGAGAGAGGGGGCAGCGGGGATCCCCGGCGGGACCCATCCCCGGGAACCATCCCCGGGTGGGATTTGGGGCGAATCTTTCGGGATCGGATCCCGGGGGCGGTTCCCGAGGCGCCGCCGCCGCCGCGTCCCCGTTTCGGGTTCCCGGGACCGGCCTGACCGGCTCGACCGCTCCGCCGGGAAAATCCCGCCGGGAAAACTCCCGGAGCCGGCGGGACGGGGCGGCGGGACCGCGCCCGGGGATGG